GCCCCCCCCCCCCCCCCCTCGGAATGGCCATGTCACAATCCCATCTCCTGCATTCTCCCCTCCTGGGCACACATGCACCCAGCGTGAGTTCAAGCCACCTGGTCCAGGACTCAAACAGCAGTCAACTACATGGGAGTCAACGACATAGCCATTACACCAACTACTGGTCCCAGAAACTCATACTCTCTTAAGGGAAGACAGTGACATCCAGGCATAGGTAGGACTTCCCTGCATTTCATTTCAGGTTTCTTTTCATCTGTGAGTTCAGATGTTGTAAAACTGGCATTATAACTAGAAGTCTGAGTCCAAGTACCACTTTGAATCAGGATCTTGAAGTTTTGGAGTTAACGCTATCCTAATCATGTATTTTAAATAAGATATATATACGTAGAAATTAACCAGTATTGTAAGCATTATCAGAACAATGAGTGATTACAGAATCCTATTTAAGTGTTTTAACTAAAATCATACAATTAAAGCTGAATATCCCAGTTATTTAAATTTAGAGAAGACAAATGTCTTTAAGATTGATCACCTGGGAGATCGGCATGAAGGGACTTTTACTGTGGCATCTCTCTGGGAGGAGAGCCCAAAATAGGTGAATAAATAGCTGCACTTTGAGCAGATGAATGAAATAAGACTGATAAAAGAAAAAATGAGTAAAGGACTCTGGAAAGTTTCTGGGCTGTTTGGATCTCAAGTGGAAAACGTATGAAAGAAATACACTCTCTGAAGTCAAGAAGGAACCTGAGCTGAAGGAGGCCTCCCACAAAGTGGGGAGGGTGTGCAGGACTCCTCTCTGAAGCTTCCAGCTTGCTGCTTCCACCTTGGATTCCAGAGCTTTCCAGTGGCAGGAGAGCACAAAGGCAGGTTACAGCTCTCAGGGTCATTGGGAGCCGCAAGGATCTGCCACCAGAGGGATGCCTGTTGCCTTCTGCAGCACTACTTCTCCGGACCTTCCTGAATTGTGAAGGTGTTGAGGAGTAGGAAGGGCCTCTTCATGGAGGTTGCAAGGGATCCCTCTTTCGGGATGAGCGAGTGGACAGGGGCAACACCCTACCTGCTTCACAGGCCAGTTTGGGTAGCTCCCTCCTCACCTTCCAGTCCCATGAGCACATATGTGTTCATGTAGGTTCTGCCTGGTCCCAGAACATCGCTGGCAAATAACCACATCTCCCACCAGCCACCACAGGCAACCCTGCTCCCTCTCTCCAAGTGAGTGGGCATGCAGTACCCTGCTCGAGCCCAGTCCTGCACCGGCTGGAGTGTAGCTCCCCACCCCCTGCCTGGACCCAAAGGAGTGTCCTGCTGCCAGGAGTACATAAACACTGCCCAGGCCCTGGTTGCACTAGTGGGTGTGCAGCATCCCTTGCCAGCCCTGAAACTACACTGGTTGGCATGCACAGCCTCTGCCTGGGCCAACAGTTATGTAAGAGTGCTTAGCACCTCCTGTACCAATAACACGCTCCTTCCTGCCCCCCCTGCCACAGTCTACTGTGGGGTGCTATGGCTGTGGAGTCAGACAGTGGAACAGACGACCTAGTTTATCTCCAAGAAATGCACAGAAGATGCTAACTAAACAACCAACTAACCCCTGTGTCCGAATCTTGCAGCCAACACCTCCATCTCTCTTTAAATAACCATTAAAAGTGAAAAGAACAGATTAGAAATAGGAGATGTGATTAGACAACTGAATATCCACATAAAGGGTGTCCCAGAAGGCAAAGAGGCAAAAAAAGGTATAGGAAACCTGTTTTATGAAATGAAAGCTGAAAACTTTCCAGATCCATCCAAAACAGAGGACAGTACTTATTTCCAGCTGATATCGCCACCTGGGTACTTCCTCTGGAGGATCCTGCTTCCTATACAAGGTCTGGCACTCGGGCAACTGCCCTATAGGGAAACAACTGATGTCAGATCTGGGAACCCACTCCCTCAACAGATGGAATATGAGTATAAAACCTCACCTAGAACTTGAAAACACTGGCCCACAGCTCCTACAGCCCCCACTAGTTTCTTGGAAAATATATAAAATCTTCTATACTAACCCCAACCCTGGGTCTATAGAATTTATAGAGCATATGACACAAACACCGATGATACTTTTTTTTTTTCAGCAGCACATGGAACTCTTTTTTTAAGATTAACTACATAATGCACAAAACAAGCCATCACAAATTTAAAAGAGTAAAATGTATATATCTAGCATCTTCTCTGACCACAGTGGAATTAAACTTAAAATCAACAACAAAAACAACTGTTGAAAATAACACAAATATGTGGGAGGTACATAACGTGCTCTTAAATGACTTCAGATATACTGAAGAAATTAAGAATGAAATTTAAGGGCCAGCCAGTGGCATGGTGGTTATGGTGACTGGATCCCATATGGCCAAGTCAACAGTTTGTGTCCCAGACCTGGCGGCTTGAAAACTCACCAGACATGTGTGTTCATGCTCAAAATCCTGAGAGGAAAATGGAGGAGAAGGGACTATGGAGTGGCCATCCTCCCTGAGGGTTTCTCTCTCTCTCTCTCTCGTATGTATCCATGTGCTATAGCAAAATTTAAAAAGAAATTTAAAACTCAAAACAGTATAGAAGCTACTCAAAAACCTAAAGATAGAACTATCGTATGACCCAGCAATCCCATTGTTGAGAATATACTCAGAAGACAGGAAATCAGTCCATCAGAGACATATGCACATCCATGTTTATCGCAGCATTAGCCACAATAGTTACATCATGAAGTCAATCCAAGTGCCCTACCCCTAATGAGTGGATTGGCATATATACGCGATGGAATACTCCTCAGTCTATACATAACAGCAAAGTCTTATTATTTGACATAAAGAAGATAAACCTAGAAGATCCTGGGTCGTCGGAAAAGTCATGATATATTTTTGCGCAGAAAAAGAAAAATACATCATGACTTTTCTGGCAGCCCAATACAATGCTAGGTGAAATAAGTCAGATTATCAAAGACGGATACTTGCTGTCCTGTTTAACATATACTGAATGCCCAGGTGCTGTGGTGGAAACTGAAGGTCTCAAAAAATAGAGCAGTTGTAGATGTCAGAAACTGCATGGGGGATGGGGAACATGAACATTCAGAAAAAAAATTATTTAGTGGACCTAAGAATGGGTGTAAGGGACCAGTGGGTGGTGTGGTGAAGGCGCTGGACACTCCCACATGGTCGACCACAGTTCGAGTCCCAGACCTGGTGGCTTGCTTTCTCACTTTCCCTCTCCTCTCTCTCTCTGTGTTTCTCTCTGGTCAAATTAAAATAAAGGAACAGATAAAATTAATTAAATAAATAAATCTAAAAAAAAAAAAAGAATGTATGTAAAAGGTTATGGAATGCTGAACCACAGCAGAGTAAAAGTTATAGATAATTTAATACATACTTCCAAAAAAAAAACCTAATAAAACTTATCAGATGTGCACAATATAGGGTAATGTTCTGGGTTGAAAATAAATATGTATATATTCTTTGGTTTAATTAGTACATGTTGTATGCATGCTTCAAAAAACCATATTGTACTCCACAAAGATATACATCGAATATATGTAAACCAGAAATCACAACTGAAAAAACAGGTTACCTAACTAGTACATGATAGAGTTCTGTTTTCAGTCACAGAGTCTGAAATTCCACCACAAAGATGTTAGGGAGTATTTGTGACTACATAGGTGGTATAGCATTAATGGAGAGTGTCTTGAAGAGAGAGCATTGATTTGAGTGAGATTTTGAACTTGTTTGTAAAATATGTTAACTTAAGATTTTTGTTGGGTGGAACCAGCAGTTAGCGTAATGGCTATGTCGCTGGACTTCCACATAGTCGACCGCGATTCGCGTCCTGGACCCAGTGGCTTAAAACTCACGCCAGGCACGTGTGCGTGCGTGCCTAAGATCCCGAGAGGAGAAGGGATTGCGGCGTGACCATCCCCCCTGGGGGGTGATTTCTCGCTTTCTGTCTCTCTGTCTATCTCTGTCTGTCTGGCGAGTGCACGCCCCCTATAGCGAAAAAAAAAAAAAAAAACCAAAAAAACAACAAGATTTTTGTTGGGGCATCAGAATGGAGCTGTTTGATGGATCAAGACTAAAGATCATTGCTCAGGGACCAGCAGATGGCATAATGGTTGCTTGGCTTGACTCCCACATTTCTAGTCCCTGACCTGGTGGTTTGAAACTCACTCTGAGTGCCTGTGCATGCCCCAAATCACCAGAGGAGAGCGGAGGAGAAGGGATTGCGGTGTGGCCATTCCCCTGGAGACTGATTTTTCACTTTCTGTCTCTCGGACAAGCACACATGACCTATAGCAAAAATCTCTTATAAAGAAAAAAAAAATGCACTGCTGATTATGTTACCTGCTGTTTACTTAGCATTTATAGATAAATCCTTTTATTTTTTCCCCCTGAGAAGTTTTTCCTATAGGGCTCATTTGCTCACCAGAGAGAAAAAGACAGAAAGCGAGAAATCACCCCCCCCCACTCCCACCCCTACCCCCACCTCCCAGGAATGGCAATGCTGCAATCCCTTCTCCTCCACACACAGACACCCGGTGTGAGTTCCAAGTCATTAGATCTGGGACTCGACTTGGGAGTCTAGTGCCTTAACCACTACGCCACCTGCTGGCTCCCATTTATAGTTAATATTTGAGATAGATGGCTTCTCCAAATGCCATTATGAAAAGGTAAGTAAAATGCCAAATTTCAGCTTAATACTAGCTAGGTATAGGATGGAAGAAGAAGGGCATATATATCATTTGGACTTTCCTTTCTCTTTACCGTTAGAACTGTTTAAAATGATAATTCCTTAATTGCTTAAGGAAATATATTTTTAAATGATGTTGTCCTTTTATATTAAAAAATACTTTTTTATCTTCTTTTGTAGCCATCTTTCAACAGTTTTGGGAAACAAGTTCGATCATGGCGCAGAAGCCATTGTACCTACACTTTTTAATCTTGTCCCCAATAGTGCAAAAGTCATGGCAACTTCTGGATGTGCAGCAATCAGATTCATCATTCGGGTAAGTTTTCTCTTTTCTCCTTCTCCCACCCCCACCCTATACCCATCTTCCCAGTGAACCAAAATAAGTCATTGATGTTTTATTTAACCCTCAAAGAAAATCACTTTGTAATTGTTTGTCTGAGGCCAGCTCTATGGCACAGTGGTAATGTGCTGCTCCAGAGAAGCCAGATCCCACGTGGTGACTGTGTTTCAAATCCCTGGCCCAGACAGCCTAAAACAGACTATATGCAAACAAGTACCCAAGATGCAGTGGGCTGAAGACTGGAGGAAGCCGATCAGAGAATGACCAGACCCTTTAGAGAATGCCATTTCTTATACTCTCTCTCACGTGCATATGTGCTCTGCCATGAATAAGAGAGAAATTAAACTATTCTTCTGACAGTAGCCATGCATGGTTGTTTTAGACATAATAGTAGATGTCAATAACATGAGGGTTACAAAGTAAACGTGCATATATACCGAATCCATGCATGGCTTTTTCTTTTTCTTTTTTTGGAGAGGTTTTTGCCATAGGGCGCATATGCTTGCCAGAAAGACAGACAGAGGCAGAAAGCGAGAAATCACCCCCCAGGGGGGTGGCCATGCCGCAGCCCCTTCTCCTCCATTCTCCTCTTGGGATCTTGGGCACACGCATACGTGTGCCCAGCGTGAGTTTAAACCTCCAGGTCTGGGACTCGAACTGTGGTCGACTACGTGGGAGTCCAGCGACATAGCCACTACGCCATCTGCTGGCCCCCCATGCTTGGCTTTTTCTTAACACGCCTTTCTGTGAACATTCTAAAGATCCCTTGTATATTAATATTATGTGCGAGTACACATATATATGTCTGTGATTGTGATCTCAAATGTTACAAACAATAATACAAGATGACAGGCAAATTCTTAATGTTTCTCTTTATCCATATCTTAAGGATGCCCAAAAGAACAGAGTTAAAATAATATATCTGTCCCTTTTAATTCTACTCTTCTGTAACTACTCAATAGTAACTATTTAGTGTATATTAGAGTGAGAAGTTCGTGCATGTGCCTATAGAAATGCAATTGCTATTCAAATAGAAAATGTAAGTACTTGTGTACTTGGGAAGGTTTATCTCTTGCCCACGTAAACAGTCCTCTTCAGTGTCAAAGTTTGTCTTCTGTTAGAGGGACATAACATCATCTTGTTCTATTCTTTTTATGGTCTAAGGAGGCCTTTTTTCCCCATTTCTTTATCAATATTGTCCCTTGAAGGTCTTATAATTTGATAAATGAATGTTTTCATATTTTGCATTACATTTTCTAGGTTACTGGGAATATTAGGCATTTTCCCTCTTATTTCTCCATCGATGGCCAATTCATGCGTTTCTTACTTAGTTTTGAGACCTTTATATGTGTCATAATGATATAGTTCTGTGTTATATATGTTGTCATATTTTCTAGTGTCCTTTTTTCAAATACCGTTTAAAGTGTATATTGAAATTTGAAATGTTCGTGTATTGAGACATTGTTCTTTTTGCTGTTTCTAATATAGTTCAAACAACCTTCCCCTTTCCTAGTTATAAAAACATTCACTCATGGGCTAACCCTGTGGTATAGTGGTTAAGTACTCTGCATTAGGAGCTAGATCCATCATGGCCAATTGTGATTCAATTTCTGGCCCAGGCAACTTGAAAAACACTCTAGGCACATGTTCATGCATGCCCAAAATCTTGATGGGAAGGAGAAATGGAGAAAAAGGATTGCAGCATGATTATACCTTTTTGGGAGGTGCTTTCTGTCTTGCTCTCTTTCTTTCCACATGAGCATAAGTACAATAAAAAATAAACCTACTAAAAAAAAAAAAATTTCATCACTGGGGCCAGCAGGTGCTGCAGTGCTTTAAGGTGCTGGATCCCATGTGACCTACTCCATGTTTAAGTCCCAGATCTGACAGCTTGAAAATCATGGTGACATGTGTGCATGTATGCCCAAAATCCCAAGAAGAGAATAGAGTAGAAAGGATTGTGGCATGCCCATTTCCCTTGGGGAGTGATTTCTCACCACCACCACCCTCCCACCCCCCCCCCCTGGGCACCCACAAGCACATGCACCCTATGGGCAACAATCTTTAAAAAATCACTTAGAATTATCATTTTTTTTGTTAGGGTTAAATCTAACTAAATTTTGTGTGTGTGTGAAGTATAGATGTGGAACTTAATTTCCTCCCAAATACAAAACCATGTGGTGAACGATTATGCTGTCTTTTCTTTGAAGTACCATTATTTTCATATAAGAAATTTACATAAATATGCATAGGTTTCTTTCTTACATGGCTTTTCTCTTTCTGTAGTCAATTTCTCCCTTCCTGTTATAGAAATAGTTTCTTGGGGGACCAGCAGTTAGAGTAATGGCTATGTCGCTGGACTCCCATGTAGTCGACCGCGGTTCACATCCTGGACCCAGTGGCTTAAAACTCCTACAGGGTGCGTGTGCGTGCGTTCCCAAGATCTTGAGAGGAGACTGGAGGAGAAGGGATTGCGGCATGGCCATCTCCCCCTGGGGGGTGATTTCTTGCTTTCTATCTCTCTGTCTCTGTCTGGTGAGTGCACGCGCCCTATAGGAAAAACCTCTCAAAAAAAAATAATACAGATGGCTGCTTCACTGGTATTCGGTGAGATAGATACTCATCCATTTTACAAATGAGAAAACTTGAGGTTTGTCCAAGATCATATCATCAATTATTTTTTTTGAAGACTCTCTCTCTCTCTCTCTCTCTCTCTCTCTCTCTCTCTCTCTCTCTGCCTCTATTTGGTCAAATAAATGAATAAATAAAATTTAAAAAAAGAAATAGTTTCTTTCTAATACTGCTTTTCTAGGAGGTGTTCTTTTTCAGCAGTACAATACAGTACCTATTAAAAATCTGTGCCTCTGTGAATATGGTCCCTCTTTTCTATTTTAATTTTTTTAAGGTTCTCTGTAATTCACAACCTTAATAACAGTGTTGGGAATTAGAGGTTTTTGTTTTATTCCTGAGTGCAATGGGATCATATTTAATTTTAATTAAATATTAATTAAATATGGTGTTTGGTATAAACTTCCATAGACATGCTGCATTAGATTATGGAAATTTCCTTCTAGTCATAGTTTGCTAAATTTTGATCTAGAGCAGTTGTTGAATTTTATCCAATATCCCTCTAATATCTTTCAAAATTACTCTCGGGGGACCAGCAGTTAGCGTAATAGCTATTGTCACTGAACTCCCATGTAGTGGACTACGGTTCAAGTCCTGGACCTGGTGGCTTAAACTCATGCCAGGTACGTGTGTGTGCGTGCCCAAGATCCCTGGAGGAGAATAGAGGAGAAGGGATTGCAGCATGGCCATCTCCCCCGGGGAGTGATTTCTCGCTTTCTATCTCTCTGTCTCTCTCTTTCTGGCAAGCACATAGCAAAAACCTCTCAAAAAATAATTACTCTCAGAATTTCACTTCAATCCATTATGCATTCATGAACTAAATTCTGCTCTTACCCATTGTACATTATGATATTGCTGGATTCCGTTGGCTAATATTTTACTTAAGGTTTTGTCATTTATTTTAATAAGTGACTTAAGCTTTTTGGTATTTTTACTTCTTTGTTTATTGGGTTGTTGGAAAAGTTATGAAGCATTTTTCCAACAGATGACGCTAGTTCATTTTTGGAAGTATTAGAGTCCTTTGCGTCTATGTTAGTGCTCTGTCATTTGACAGTTTTGAAAGGAGAATGGAAGAGAAGGGATTGCAGTGTGGCCATCCCTCCAGGAGGGTGATTTCTCTCTTGCTCTCTATGTGTCTCTGTGTCTCTGGCAAGTGCACGTGCCCTATAGTAAAAATCTCTCTCTCTAAAAAAAAAAGAAAGGATACTTTGTTCATGTGGAAAGTTCATTCTCAGTACTGTCATTAGAACTATCCTTACATAATAGACAAAGATCTTTTTACTGAAATGAATTTTCCTTAAATTATATTCATTCATAATTTCCTTAAATTATATTCATTCATATATTCATTCCTTTTTTTTTTTTTTTTTTTTTTTTTTTTTGCTATAGGGCACGTGCACTCACCAGAAAGACAGAGAGACAGAAAGCACCCCCAGGGTGCTTTCTCTGCCAGTCTTCTCAAGGACTGCTGTCATCTCACTAAAAGCACAAATTGGGTTTGTCTGAGGTTCTCCTTTTTCTTTATTTTTTAATGTTAGCTCCTGTTTTCTGTATTTAATTTATGTCCCAGGGGACTGCTTCCTTAGATTATATTATTAATACATGATTCCTAATTCTCTTCTTAACTTTTGAGAAATTTTTTTCAATTGTCTATTTATATTAATAAAGCCTAAAGTCTCTGACTTAGTGTTTGGTTGATTGCCTCATCTCTAATTAGGAAGGTCACTTTTAATATTTCTTTGGTTCAATTCCCCCTGAATATGGTGTAGCCTTAGTGCAATTAGTCTCTCTTCCCATACCTGCTACTGCTGTGGAGGTGGTTAACCCACTGGGGGGTTTTGGGGTGGGAGGTTATAAAAGAATAGAGGAAGAAGGTCAGATGAGACCACCTGTTGTGGCTAGAAGGTGTCCGTGGGTGTTACACGTATAATAACGTTTGTGGGATGGGCTTCTCCGGATCCTGCAGGGAGCCGGACCATGGAGCCCTTATGGCCTGAATGTAACTTACACAACAGGCATGTCAGTGTCCGCTACTGTACTGTCATCTCGAACAGCTTCAGGTCGATGGGCGACTTAGCAACTGAAAACAAAGTTTTCCCTTGAATTTTGGTTGAGTTCGTTGTGACAGACACTGATATGCCATGCACAGGCTCGTCCAGTGGAAGACTTGTTTCCCCAGTGCTGGGAGCACTATTGGTAGACAGCATTCAGCTGCCAGTCTTCTCAAGGACTGCGTTATCTGCAGAGAGCTGCTTTTCCCAAAGTCTTGGACAGTATCTGATAACTGACAATGTCGAGTTATACAGGCTTATTCAACACTGTCTTAAAAGACTTTTTTGGGGGGAGGGGCGGGGCAGCAGTTAGTGTAATGGCTGTGTCACTGGACTCCCGTGTAGTCGATTGCAGTTCGCGTCCCAGACCCAGTGGCTTAAAACTGACGCCAGGTGTATATGCGTGCGTGCCCAAGATCCCGAGAGGAGAATGGAGGAGAAGGGATTGCAGCATGACCATCCCCCCTGGGGGGGTGATTTCTCGCTTTCTGTCTCTATGTCTCTCTCTGTCTGTCTGGCAAGCGCACGTGCCCTATAGTGAAAACCTCAAAAAAAAAAGACTTTTTTTTTTTTTTTAATGTTGCTGTAGGGCACATGTATTTGCCAGAGAGAGACACAGAGGGAAGGTGAGAAATCATCCTCCCAGGGGGAATGGCCACACCGCAATTCCTGGGATTTTGGGTATGCATGCACTTGAGCCTGACATGATTTTCAAGTTGCCAGATTCATGGTCAGCCATGTAGAAAGAAGTCCAGCATCCTAACCACCATGCAACTTGCTGGTCCCCCTCAGAGACAGGTTTTTGTTTGTTTTTCAGAGAGGTTTTTTTTTTTAGTATCAGAGCATGTGCACTCACCGGGGAGACACAGACAGACAGAAAGCAAGAAATCACTCAAGAGGAACAGCCATACCGCAATCCCTTCTACATTCTCTTCTTGGGATTTTGGGCACGCATGTACATGTGCCCAGCATGAGTTTTAAGCCTCCGGGCCCAGGACTCGAAACATGCTGACTGTGTGGGAGTCCAGTGACATAACCATTAAACCATCCGCTGGTCCTGATAGTTTTAACTCCAGAGCTCCCCAGAGACTTTGGCCGAAGATGTACTTGAGCCAAATCGCAGTTCGGTTTCTTCTGCTGCCCACACCTGCTTCCTTCTCCTCACTTCCAGGGGTATTGATTCCAAGGGCACTTTTCATACTCGGCACGATAAACTTCACCTCAGAGCCCACTTCCTAGATAGCCCAGCCTGTACAGTTTGCTCAGAAGAAAACTTAGAAATTCTTGGCATCAAATATGTATGCTTAGGCTAGTGTTTTCTTCTTCCTTCTATTTTGAACTTCTAATGTTTGCTTCGCTAAAGAGGTACACAGGAATTACTAATAAAAATCAGAAGATTATGTCTATTGAATTCTAGGGAGATACAGTTTAGCCAGAATGAAAGTTCTGTTAAAATCACCATTTAAAAATGCATTTCAAACAGTTAGGGATATAGAGTCACTCTTACGACCTTCTTCGATAACATTTGCAGTTACTTCTCCCAGCAGTAGCCATGGTCCTTCAGAAACTACGGGCAATACGTTCCTGGTTTCTCTTTGTGCTCCCTCTGCCAAAAACTGCACTGTCTTAATAATTCTTCGCAGTTACACAGTTGACTGGTCTTTGTCATATAACATCACATCCGTAGCTGCTCTTTTGAAATTATCGTTATCACTTCTTTAATTTGGAGAAACTGTTAAAGACTGATATGTTTTATTTCAATATCTGATTTATGGTCTTTTTGTCCCATTACAATGGAACTAAATACCTGAATGTGAGGGAAGTGGGAGAAAGGGCCACATGAAGTGTACAGTAGTGTCACCCTTTTCTAAAACATCTTTTTCAGCATACTCATGTACCTAGACTTATACCTTTAATAACAAGCAACTGCACATCTAAATCAGTTCCTGTGAGGAGGTAAGTTTTGAAAAAAAATTTTTTTTTTACTATAGCTTTGATACTGCATTATGTTTAATCCTTAGTCTGGTGCAAAAATAGATTGTAGTTCATTCCTTGCCTCCCAAAGAATGTGATTTTTCTCATGTCTCAATGTAGAGGAATTGAGGTCATTTTTATGACTACCCATGCTTCTCAGTTTTATCATATTAAGCTTTGTTTTTTTGGGAGGACTGCTGGTTGCCTTCATTTTCAGAGTTGAAGTCTAGAATGAGGCCTGGGCTAGCGTCCTGCAATTGCCCCTGACTGATTATCCTACCTTGGGAGATTATTTAACTGCTCTGAACCTCAGTGCCTACGTATGTTAGTAGTGCTAATGTCTACACCAAAAACTATAAAGATGAAAGAGATACACAGGAGTAGAACTTAACCTGGTGTTCAGAACAGAGTAATAGCTTATTAGATCTGTCAGTCAGGCTCTTTCTCTATTTTTCACTCTCTCTGATAGCCACATTTTTTAAAAAAGAAAACATTATTTTTTAACTTATTACTTAAGTTTGCTATGGGACACATAGGCACACCAAAGAGACAGAGAGAGAGAAAGTGAGAAAGCAACCCACCAGGTCCAGGACTCAAACCCCAATTGACCATGTGGGAGTCCAGTGCTCCAACCATCACGCCACCTACTGGCCCTGATTCCTACATTTTTTAACATGATTATTATCATGATCAGTAATAGAGAAAGAAAAACAAGATTTGTGCATTTGATGTTTAATAAAATTAATAAATTCTTTTTCTTTTTAAATTTGATAAATGTGTTTATTTAAATACTTTGAATGTTAGGAAGAGGCCAAATAAGACATTCATTTCCTTTAAATGGTTCAAAGTTTTGGCACCAATTGTTGAGTCACTTAATTTTCGTGTTAGAAATTGGCAAAAAAGCAACCCATAGGTTATTTCTGGCTAATAGTTTCTTCTTGTACCGCCTACAAGCTGAGGATGTTTTCTTTTACATTTTAAAGGGTGGTTAACAAGGGATGGGAGGAGATGATTAATGTGAGACAGATTACATGTGGTTTGCAAAACCTAAATATTTTCTATCTTGCAGTTTACAAAAAAGATTTGCCAACCCCTGTGTTGCACTGAGGATAATAGTAATCGCAGAGATAGAAATGTGACCAAGACTAGGGAATCAGGAAATGGATCCTGAAATTGCCTTGAAGATGGGAAGCAATCTGGTAGTTAACAGTAGAGGAAGTACAGGGGGCACAACCGAGGCAGAGATGTAAAGTGATGTTGTATGCTACAGGCCCATCAGAAGGCCACGGAGGCCAGAGCACATGCTCAGTGGAAGTTCACTGGGATGGGGCATAGTCGTGGGACAGAGTGGGTTGAGGTCATAGTGTAGACAGCTTTGACTATCATGAAGAAGAATTATAACATTCATGGGGAGTAAGAATCTTTGACAACGGTTGATTTTTGGTAAGGAGGTCATGTTGTCCAGCCTAGTTTTTCTACTAGCTACTAACAGGATAGAAAAGGAACAGTGTAAAGCATTGATTTAACTAACAGAGATTGTTACAATTCATGAAAGATAGGCAGGATCTAAACTAAAGCTGTATTGATGGTAATCAGTGGAAGGAAGTTTTATCTAATTTTATCTAAGAAGTTCAAAATGTATTTTGTATATAGAAGTGAGACTTGATAAATGGATTGGACTTGAAATTGGATCTGGAAGAGGGAGGTGGTATTAAGTACTTCAGACTGTGAACTCTAGGGTCAGAAGGCCAAGGCTTAAGTGGCTGCAACAGCAGTAAAACACAATACTCTGCAAGGCTGACCTACTTGGAAAGTGTCCACGTTCATATCTGGAGACCTCCCTGAGTACATCGGGCATGTGCATGCCTATTAGGGTGATCTCCCATGTTTCTTGCCTATGGAAGGAAAGAATAAACAAGCTTTAAAAAATAATAAATAAAGAATGCCAGGGGTTAAGTTCCAGCTCTATTACTTTGGATAAGTTAACTTAATCTCCCTGTTTCTTTTTTCTAATTCATATGATATGGACTAAAATAGTGGATTTGAGAGGGAGAGGACTGTTTATTCCTTTGAGTTGACATTCATTGCCTTCATGGACATGTCCATAAGCAGGTTGGAGGTTTGATTTAACAGCTGAGGTGAAGAACCAATGCCACTGACATCGGACTTGAAGTATTTATGTGATAGAGCTAAGGATATGGGTGAAGTTGCCCAAATGAAAACACTACAGTAGAAAAGTGTGGCTGGCCCCATGGCCTAACGATTAAAGGAGCTGGATCTCACAAAGCCAACTGTGGGATTTGAATCACAGCCCATGTGGCTTGAAAAAAGCACACCAGGCACATATACATGCATGCCCCAAATCCTAACAGGATGGAGAAGTGGAGGAGAGGGGATCGTGATGTGACTCCACCCCATCGGGATGTACTCTCTCCCTTTCCCTCGCCCTCTGTCTCCTTTCCTCTGACACACACACATTCCGGCAAAAAGTTTAAAAGTAGTCTAAAATTGGTACCAATCAGATGAGCATTTGTTTAAGGGCTGATGGAGGAAAAATGTTAATAAGGAAAGAAAATCAGGACAGCACTATGTCATCAGATGCTGAGGAAGAAGGGGCACCTCAGATGAGACCGCTGAAGATAAGCTGTCCCATTGCACAGCAGTGATACGCCTCTCAGGAGAAGCCAGGTCCTGCCTGGTGACTGATGTTTGAACCCCTGGTCCAGTCCATCGGACACACACTGTGCATGTGCGCGCGTGCCCCGGACCTGATGGGCTGAAGGAAAGAGAAAATAAACAAAATTTGCTGAATTTTGTATCTGACAAAGCATCTTAAAATGTTAGGGAACTCTTAAGGTTTTCTTAGACTGTTTAGCATGGGGGTACTTGGGTCCTTTAAGTTAGTTAAGATTTTTTTTTTAAGATCTATTTATTTTATTTGTTAGTATTATTTTTTAATTTGACCATAGAGAGAGAGGGAAAGTGAGAAAGCAAGCTACCAGGTCTGAGACTTGAACCAGAGGTTAACCATGTGGGAGTCCAGTGCCTTCACCACCATGCCACCTGCTGGCCCCAAGTCAGTTAGTTGGTACGTTAAAATCATGTCTTATGCTTCAGTTCAGAAGGCACAGTGCAGTTTTATTGTTAAACAGTATGAATGGGGCCAGCAGGTGGCATGGTGGTTGAGGAGCTGGATTTCCACATGGCTGCCAACAGTTCAAGTCCCAGACCAAGCAGCTTGATTTCGCACTCTCTCTTTGTCTCTCTCTCTCTGGTGAGTGAGCATGCCCTATAGCATATAAAAATAATAATAATAAAAAATAAAGTTAAGTAAATCTTTATAAAAAGTATAAATGTATTTCACAATATAGCAGTTATTTATAATTTAACTTCTGTTTTTCAGGCGTTCATTTGAATTTTTAGACCTGCTGTTACAAGAGTGGCAGACTCATTCATTGGAAAGGTACGCATTGCCTCATTCTTGCTCCTTTCTCAGCTCCTTCTCCTCCCTTTGTTACCCGTTCTGTAGATGCTAGTGATACTGGTTTTACATTATTTCTCATTTTTCATTTAAGATTATTTGTACTGGTTTTCTTTTGAAGTTGTGGAGGCATATTCCCATTATTCATTGAACCTATGAATGGTAGCATTTTTTTTTGTGGGTTGGGTGAGGGTATCTTGAAATAGATTTGGGTTATCTGAGATATTCCAAATTGAATTTGGTAAAGTTTAAAAACATCTGGCACCAACAGATGGGATAGTAGTTAAAAGTCTGGAATCCCATGTGGTTAACTATGGTTTCAAGTCCTGGACCAGTGGCTTGACACTCCTAACGGCACGTGTGTACGCGCACTCAAAATCCCAAGAGGAGAGTGGAGGAAAAGGATTGCGGCGTGGCCATTGCTCCTGGGGATGATTTCTCACTTTATGTCTCTCTCTCTCTCTGTGACTCTGATGAGTGCACATCCTATAGCAAAAATCTAAAAAGAAAAATATCTCTACACAGGGAAATATTTTTTTAAGGCACAATCAGTCATGTAATGAATAATTTAAGACGGAAGCGATTTCCTTTTAGGGGAGCGAGATTTAACAAAGAGATGCTTTTTAGAACGTTTTTCCCCTTCAGATGTCAGATGTCATTGGTCAAGTGTATACTGGGTGTAGTCTGATATAACTCCGAGATGAAGGAGAGGAGAGTGAGGACAGCTAGTTGGTCGCTGGCTGTGTATTTTCAGGGCTGCGTTTCTCATTAATTTCAAGTGAGAAACTTTGGAAAGTACCTGCATTTACATTGAGTTCCTTGGTAATTTTTTATTTCCATGGGAATCCTTAATCTGTTCACAGCCCATTTTTTTAAAAAATAGGATTCGTTGGGCTAGCCCTGTAGTGAGTGCAGTGGTTGAGGGAGCTGGATTCTACATGCACAACCACGATTCAAATCTGAGCCCTGGCAGCTTGAAAAACAGTGCATGTGAGTGCATCCCCAAAATCCTGACAGGAAGGAGAAATCGAAGAGGAAAGATCGTGACTATGCCCCATTGAGGGGGAACACCTGTGTATGCTATCTCTGTCTGGCAAGTGCATGTACAATAAAAAAGAAACAGGGTTTGTTCTTTAATGTAGACATAATTCTTTTTTTTTTTTAAGAATTATTTAATTTTATTTTCTTATTTTTATTTGACCAGAGAGGGACAGAGAGAGAGAGAGAGAGAGAGAGAGAGAGAGAGAGAAAGCAAGCCACCAGGTCCAGGACTTGAACCACAGCTATGTGGGAGTCTAGCACCCTTAACCACCATGCCACCTGCCAGCCCCAGCGTAATATAATTCTAAGTCTTAAGTTCTACTGTTCAATTTGGTCATATAACCACATAGAGGTAGCTTTTTTTCCTAATACATTAAAAATTTTTAAGTACTGTATATTTCTTCATTATCTGTATTCCATATAAAAATTATTGTTTTCAGATTTAGTGATTGGATTGTCATAGGAGTGATGTATGGGGCAGATTAAGAGAACCCGTAGTCTTACATTTGTTCTTGTGCACTGATTACTTCTGCCCATTTGTGATTGATAGGTGGCATATAGGTAGGAATTATCATTTGTTGTGAAATACACAGCTTTATACATGAATCTAAAATATATTTATTTCATAGACATGCAGCTGTCTTGGTTGAAACTATTAAAAAGGGAATTCACGATGCCGATGCTGAGGCCAGAGTGGAGGCAAGAAAGTGAGTCTGTGACAGTTTAAACTTACTTTGGTTTTTTTTTTTTTAAAGTTGTATTGGGCGAATGAAAGTATCACAGGCGTCTCAAGTATTCTGCTTGACTAGCTCTTCAGTAAAATTGAGGTTGTCTCCATTAAATCTGTAGCAGTAAAGCTCTAACAGCCTGCTTCAAGTGGCCATTTTGTAATTGTCATTTTTCCTACTAGTCCACCACAACCTGCTCGTTTCCATTGTGACTTAAAAGATGCCATTTTGGGCCATGCATTGCATACCTGACAAGTGCTGCATGTAGCACTTGGCGTACATTATTTTCTAACTCTTAAGACGATCTTGCAAAAGTGTTGTTATCTCCACTGATGGCAACTGAAGTTTGGAGACTTGAGGCTTACTCAATGCCACAGAGACTGTAAGTTGCACAAATCTCTTTTGAACTGAGATTGCTTTTCTGAAAAGCCTGCAGGTTTTTCACTGGAACTTACTAAATTTAGAAAGTATCGAGTTGTTGAAAAGTCACAAGTATTTTTCTGTTTTTCTATCCAAAGATGCATCATGGCTTTTTCAATAACCCAGTACTTACCTGACATGCAGTGGATGTATTAAACACTTGTGGACTCTTCTCATCCTGCTTCAGTGTACACATTTCACTGTTAATGTCCAGATGTGTAAAGTCATCACCTCTCGTGCCTTGCTTTATTTTCCTCTTTTCTTTTACAGGACATATATGGGTCTTAGAAACCACTTTCCTGGTGAAGCCGAAACGTTGTATAATTCCCTCGAGCCCTCTTATCAGAAGAGTCTTCAAACTTACTTGAAGAGTTCTGGCAGTGTAGCCTCTCTTCCACAGTCAGACAGGTCCTCCTCTAGCTCACAAGAAAGTCTCAAGTAAGGTCATACAAATAATAATTACTGGTCTCTTTCTCTCCCTAACTGCCCAAGTTCCTCACGAAGTATCTGCTTGCCTTCACATAAAGCGTTGAAAGAACAGCCATACAAATGTAACTATTTTCCTTGGTCTTGTTGTCTCAAGGGTCAGATTACATGTCAGCATGACTTCTCTTTGGGTAAAGTGTTTAACGATTCATATTTTGTTTCTGTACAGTTGGTTGTCTGAAAATTTGATAACCACCAACAATACATATCTTTTTAATACTCCAAAAATAATTCACACAATAATAACCCATTTTCAAGGCATTGTAAGGGGAACAGTACTGGAAATTCAGAAGCTGTCTTCGTAGTTCTCATAAACAACCAGTTTCACTGTGTGACTGGTAAAAACTCCTCTGCGCTCCTTCCTAGACCCTCGCACAGTTGCACAGTGTAAGAATTCAGGAAATCCCTCAGAAGGGCAAAAAGAGCCAGTGCCCGACTTCTCTGTACAGTCGTCCCCTCTTATCTGTGGTTACTTCCTGTAGTTTCAGAGAACCTGTGGTCAGTAGCAGCCAGCGTTAAAATAGGTGATGTTTTGAGAGAGACCTCATTCACATTTTTATTACAATATACTTTGTAATTGTTCCATTTTTTTTTATTTTTTATTATTGTTATTATTGTTTTTAGTCTTAAAATGTGCTTAATTTATTGATCAAACTTTATCATAGGTATGTACTTACAGGAAAAAAACAAGTGTGTGCATATATACACTCACACACATCTTGACACATTTCTGTTGTTGGGAAGGAACATCTTGACACATTTCTACATAGAAAAATTGGGACTAGCAGATGGTATAATGGTTACATTGCTGGACTTCCATGTAATTGATCACAGTTTGAGTCCCAGACCCGGGCATGTGTGCACACGTGCCCAAAATCCCAACAGGAGAATGGAGAAGAAGGAATTGTGGCATGATCATCCCCCCAGGGGTTGATTTCTCACTTTCTGTCTGTCTCCCTGGCAAGTACCTGCGCCTTATAGCAAAATTCTCAAAAAAAAAAAAAAAAAAAAAAAAAGAAAAGAAAAGAAAGAGAGAGAGAAGGAGAAAGACAGCATGACAGTCCATACAGCCTAATACATGCTTGGTTCTGTGGCAGTCGCAGGCATCCACTGAAGAGGTGATCTTGGAGCGTGCTCCCACAGATAAGGGGGCTGTCCTGCAACTCTTCCCACCCCAGTGTTGGCTACCTCACACCCTCGCTGCTTTTGCAGCACTGACCCTATTTGCTGTCTCATTAGCCTGAGAGTTGTTCAAATCTCTGACGCGCTCTCTGCTTCCTAGTCGTGGCCCTCTTCCCATCGGTATGACCTCTGCGCCAAGATGTGCAGACTTCTCCAGGGAAGAGCAGCTCACAGAATGTCAGCTTGCTTCTCTGTAATTTTTTTCTCTTTAGGTCCTTGACCCACCCGCACAAGGATTGCTGGTTACTTTGGCAACTCTGATGTATGAGTCAAGCAGAGTGAGGCAAATAAGTACTTAGGGTACAAAATTTAAGGAGGCATTCATAAGGTTGTACAAACATACTTTCTACTAAAGTGCAGTTTCTGATACTTTTGCAGAATAAAAGTAGATATCTGATTATTAAAAAGATTGCTTGTAGCAGGACTAGCAGGTGGCGTGGTGGTTGAGGCACTGGACACTCCCTCATGGCCGACCATAGTTAAGTCCCAGACCTGGTTGCTTGTTTTCTCACTTACCCTCTTTCTCTCTCTCTGTCTCTCTCTGGTCATATTAAAAATAAATGAATGAATAAATAAATTGGAATAAATAATTCTTTAAAAACTTTCTTGTAGGAATAATGACTTATCTAAACTTCTATTTAATTTGAAATAAATCCCCCACCTCAAATGAGCTGTCTTTGCTTCTTTTTATCCTTTTTTGCTTTTGTTCCCTTTTTATTTACTATGCTCAGATTTTTTTTTTAAGAATTATTTTATTTAACTTTATTTATTTATTTTAATTTAACCAAAGAGGGACAGAGTGAGAGAGAGAGAGAAAGTGAGAAAGCAAGCTGCCAGGTCCAGAACTCGAACCACAGTCAGCCATGTGGGAGTCCAGCACCCTTAACCACCACACCACCTGCTGACCCCCTTAATGCTCAGAGTTTAAAGTGCATATGAATCATTTAAGATACTCTTCAGAATGCAGTCTAATTCCAGAGTTGGGGGTGGAGCCTGAGATTCTGCATTTTTTTTTTTAAACAAATTCCTACATGATGTCAGCGCTGTTTGACCGTGAACCATACCTTGAGTAGCAAGGGTTTAAAGAAGATATTTTATCTTACTCTAGTATAATATTGTTGAACAAGCATCTTTAAATTCTGTGAACTTAGGGAACGGTTATAAAAATAATACAGTGATGGTCTTGAGAACCATTATTAGAGCCAGTAGGTGGCATGGTGGTTGAGGTACTGGACTCCTACATTGTCAACTGTGGTTTGAGTCCTGGACCTGGCGGCTTGCTTTCCGCTTTCTCACTTTCTCTCTCTTTCTGTCCATCTCTGTCTCTCTCTGGTGAACTAGTAATTCTAATAATAATAATAAATAATTAAGGAAATAATTTCTTTTTAAAAAAGAACCACTACCAAATTTTACCATTTCATAATATAACTTAGAGAATAATTTTAAATAGCCTGTCATGACTCGTTTGGGGATTTTTACTTCTTTTTTTCCTTCTACCTTTAGAACTTACAGATATGCTTTCCAAATGCCCATTATATACTTAGATGTTTCCATCATTCATTTATTTTTAAGAGAGAGTTTTGCTTTAGGGCATGCACACTTAATAGAGACAGAGAGAAAGTGAGAAACCACTTTCCGGGGGAAGGCCATACCTCAGTCCCTTCTCCGTCGTTCTCCTCTTGGGATTTTGGGCATGTACACACACATGCCTGGCATGAATTTATAATCACCAGGTCTAGGACTTGAGTCACAGTCAGCCATGTGGGAGTCCAGTGCCTTCACCCCTGTGCCACCTGCTAGCCCCACCTAGATGTTTTATTCACCTGTGGGCTTTAGAGTACCATTGTAACTAAAGATGAATAAACAAAAAATGGTATTAAGGGAGATCGCAGGTTCTTAGAAATGTGTAGAGATGTTCTGGGAACATCATCCTCTAACCAGACTGTTGCTGTAGCGTCGTTCTTAGCCTCGTTGTTGTTGGCCGTACAGTAGCATTCAGTAGCAGCTCTGATAACTGCCTGACTTACCAGCAGCCACAGCCATTAAGACTCAGGTGGGAGACACGTTGGTTAGGCCGGTAATAACACTGCTTTTTCTTTTTAAATAATTTATCTCAAGATACAAGTGGTCGATACTCCTATTATTAAGTCTTCTATGGTGGGTATCATAATATATGCTGAGGTCCAGCATAAACTAAAACAGCCTGGTTTCCATCTCTGTAGCCTTTACAGGCTTTCTTCATTGCCACTCACTCATTTTTGCTTTGTAACCAATTGAGACACTGTAACTGCTATGTGATAACATGTTTGAGAACAGCTCTTCTGAAGTGATTTGTTAAAGGAAAGTTAAAAATAGAACTACTTCTCAAGTTTCCAGAGAACTAAGTGGTATTTCATTGTTGTCATCAGATTAATGATAAATTTAAGTCTTACTAAAAACATTTCTTTCTCCTTTGTAGTCGCCCTTTTTCTTCCAAATGGTCTACAGCAAACCCGTCAGCTGTGGCTGGGAGAGGTAATTATCTTTGTGTGTGTGTGTGTGTGTGTGTGTGTGTGTGTGTGTGAGTGAGTTTTTTGTTTGTTTGTTTTGTTTTGTTTTTGCTGTAGGGCACATGCACTTGCCAGAAAGATAGAGAGAAAGTAAGAAATCACCTCCCTGAGGGATGACCATGCTGCAGTCTCTTCCCCTCCATTTTCCTCTTGGGATTTTAGGCGTGCATGCACGTGCACCCTCATGTGAGTTTCAAGCTTCTGGGTCTGGGACTTGAACTGTAGTCAGCTATGTGGAAGTCCAGTGCCTCAACCAATGTACCGCCTGCTGGCCCCAGTAATTGTCCTTTTAACTAAAGGTTACAGCCTACTTTTTCTCTAAGGGATTAGCCTCTAATCTGTTCTGATGTGATCCATAGTGAGAAAATAATTTTACATGGTATCCACTACCACCATGTATACTATACCTTTGTGTGTGTTCTGGTTTATATATAATAATAAAAAAGTTCCATGAAGCAGTACTTATTCTCACTTGTGATGAACTGTGTTCTAGTTTGTTTCATATTTTTTCCAAGTCCTGTCATGATCTACTCATTTGATTCCACTATCAATAAATGGGTCATCACTCATAGTTTATAAACTTTCCTTTTTTAAAGTGGAAAAAGGAAAGGCCAGACCTTTAATGATTTAATTTGCATTGCCTAAAAGTATCCCTACTCCTAGACTAGTTTTTCTTCTAGTAAGGAATAATAGTACTGCCATCAGTTTATCTTGTACAGTGCTTCATTTTCATAAATCAGTCATAAACATGGCTTCGTTTACAAAATAGTCCAATGGATTTTACAGTTAAAATGAGGTCCTTTTCCCAATCTTACAGCAAAGGAAAGTGTAGCAGAGAAATACTGAGAAAATGGCCCAAGAAGACTTAGTTGTACCAGAATTGACGCCAAGGCACTCTGGCTTTAAAATACTTCATAATACTGCTCATTTGCCCACTGCCTCCTTGTTGACCATTTGTCCTCATGGATTTGCTCATGATGGTATCAAGTGTATACATGTTTCATGCTGTCTCTAGTGATTTAAATAATACAGGTTACCTTTGCCTTGTCTTCCATAGTATCAGCAAGCAGTAGCAAAGCCGGTTCCCTTCCAGGAAGCCTGCAGCGTTCGCGGAGCGACATCGACGTGAATGCCGCCGCTGGTGCCAAGGCACATCATGCTGCGGGGCAGGCCGTGCGGAGTGGGCGCTTAGGTGCCGGAGCCCTGAATCCGGGTTCCTATGCCTCGCTAGGTAAGACGGTTAATCACAGGCAAGTGTGCAGGCTTCTCTCCCAGGTCTGAGTGAAGCTACAGTGATGTTTCTGAATTATACCTCTCATGTTTGCCAGTTAAGGATACTTTGTGTTTCAATACGACTCTATACTGGGGACACGGTTCTGAGACATTCTAGCTGCCTTGTTTCCATTTTCCTTCTTGTCCTCATCTTCTTCATCTTGATCAGAAATCCAGTTCTTACTATTGCCTGTTCAGTTTTCTAAACTATGCACTTTTGCCATTTTCAACCACTGGCTTCAGAAGGCGTTTGGAAGTTTGTTGGCCTTGTATCCTCCATTTCTGTTTTCTTCCTCTTATTTCTGTTCCTGTACCAAGAATTTAAAGCCTTTGGTAATCTGGGTGAACTACCAAGTCTAATCAAAGCATAAACATATTTCAAAAGCTATTAATGTTTAGGGTTTTGTTTGTTCATTTTATAAATTTTTACCTCTATCAAATTGAAAGTTGCAGGCTGACTATCTGTATTGCTTCTTATCTCTTCCTCCTACTTCATTTTTTTCTTTAGGTAGTATTGGTGGGACACTAAGTAAACAGATCTCTGGAACACAATAATAAATGTAGAGATTTTTAAGTGTAAATGTAGTATGGGATATAATGGACATAGCTACATTCAAAACCATGAAGAAAGGACACATTATGTAGTTAAATGGGGATTAGGCCATGGATTATAGTGTGATGTAAAATCAAGAACCATATAAAAATACATTCTAGATAACCAAAATGTTAAATGGGGATTAGGCCATGGATTATAGTGTGATGTAAAATTAAGTTAGAACCATATAAAAATACATTCTAGATAACCAAAATGTTAAACACATAAAGCAATGAACACATAATAGGTGAGTATTCATCTAATCTCAAATTGAGGAAAAAAATTCTTACACATGAATGCAGAGAAATCATGAGGGAAGAGTCAGAGGTTAAAATTGTCAAGTTTTTCAAATCTGTGAGAAACAAATGAGTTTGTTTTTGTAAAAACAAACAAAAATTCTACATATATCAAGAAAAACATATATCAGCATTGCCAATAAGTACCAGAACAGATGATGAACCTTAACTGCAATCAGTCTGAAGCAAATTGGAAGACCTATGCATATAACAAGAAAATAAAGATTAGTGCCCACCATCGACAAGAATTTTTTTTAAAGGATCTTATCAAGCAAGACCAGCAGGTAGCATAATGGTTCCGTCATTGGACTCCCACATGGCAAACTGCAGTTCAAGTCTCAGACCTGGTGGCTTGAAACTCACACTGGGTGAATGTGTGAGCATGCCCAATATCCTGAGAGGAGAAAGGATTGTGGCTTGGCTATCTCCCTTGAGGGGTGATTTCTTGCTTTCTGTCTTTCTGTTTCTCTCTGTCTTTCCAGCAAGCACACACACCCTATAGGAAAAAAAAATCTCTCTTTAAAAAAAATAAAACAGGGAACCAGCAGTTAACGTAATGGCTATGTCGCTGAACTCCCACATAGTTGACCACGGTTCACATCCTGGACCCGGTAGCTTAAAACTCATGCCGGGCGCTTGTGCGTGCGTGCCCAAGATCCCAAGAGGAGAATGGAGGAGAAGGGATTGCGGCGTGGCCATTCCCCCTGGGGGGTGATTTCCCACTTTCTGTCTCTCTGTCTCTCTCTGTCTGTCTGGCGAGCGCATGCGCCCTATAGTGAAAAAACTTCTCAAAAAAAAAAGAAAGAAAGAAAGAAATAATAAAATAAAACGAAAGACCTTATCCAGTGCTGATGTGAATTAATGATGGGGCACATTTTCTAAGTAAAACCCATGAGGCTTTTTTTTTTTTAAATGAAAGGAGGGAAGGGGAGAGGTAGGTAAGTGTTTGTTTGTTTGTTTGTTTGTTTTGAAAGCGTTTCCTATGTTGGGCTACTCTGTCCCAGCCTCCCAGTTAACTAGGACTATAGGTGCACGTCGCTGCACTTGTCCTGTTGCCAGGGAGCCAAACCTGAGGCATCCATGTGGCCTTAGCTTCATACGGTGGCTCCCAGCTGCATGCACCACCATGACTGGATCTCCCAAGAAGCCTTTTTAAATATTCGGAATTTATTTTTAAGTGTTGAGAAATTTGACCCAGTAACCGAATATTTACCTAATTATGTCTAAAAATAAAAAAAAATATTCATTGCATATATTTTTTTAATGTCAGAGAGCACACGCTCATTCAAGGGAGAAAGAGAGCAAGCGCCCCTCAACAGGGCCTGGCCATGCTGTGATCCTTTTCCCTCCGCTTCTCCATGCCCTCAGGATCTTGGATGCATACACACATCCAGTGTTTTTCTTAAGCTGCCAGGGCCTGGACTCGAGCCTAATCAGCCATGTGGAATCAGGCTTCCTTTGCACAGTACTTAACCATTGCACTACAGGGCGAGCTCTTTAAAATTTTAATAACAGATATCATGAAAGCTGACTTTAATATGTAGCAAATAGAAGTTAAATTATGGTATTCCCTTATATATACTGTGCAACCATTAATCATATTTTCGGTGACAGTCTCAAACAGATTACCAGTATATGGTAATGTCATCATTTTGTGTAAAAATTATGCACAAATGTAGGACTGAAGGGGTTTTACAAAGATGTTAACAATGAGTTGATTAGTACTTTAATTTTCAGGAAACTGTTCTGTTTAGAAATATTATGTTACCACTTCAGAGGAAGACTCCTCCATGACTCCTGAGAACTAGTGATTTCAGGGAAGAAAGAGAAATGAAGTTTTTCTACTGATAATTCAGCCTCCAGCCCACAAACTCAAGTGGTAGGGAGCCCCTCTAGCCTTCTCTCTGTCTCTGTCACTCTCTGACTTTGTCTCTGTCTTCTCATTTTTTTTGTAATTTTCCCTTTTAAAAATTTTTTTAAGGTAAAGTATTTTCTTGGCTTATCAGCCCTGCTAATAATCCCCTTTTCCTCTTCCACCCAGGAGAGGCAAGGGGCAGGCCTTCAGAAGAAGACTCCTCCATGGCTCCTGAGAACTAGTGATTTTGTGCAGCATGTTTCTTTTTTTTTTTTTTTAATAATTTTTTTCCTTCTTTTTTTCTCTGTTTCTTTGTTGTTGTTGTTTTTCTCTCTGTTTCCTTTTCTTTTTCTTTCCATCACTCTGCTTCTCAATCTCCACTCAATGTGTTTCTAGATGGATCTAAGGGAACCGTAGCCAAACATCCAAATACTATTAGAGTTAACATATTCCTCAATATCTCCTGAATCTACTGCACAAAGGGATAAAAACAGAATGACAAAGAGATTCCAGATCACCACCTCCTGCACGCTCCTGAACGCTCAGATTAAACCAGTAATTGGTAAGAAACACACCATCAGATGACTAGAAATCACCACAGGGCTACAAGAAATATGAGAAAGCAAGAAAATACCTCTCCTCCAAGGGAAAAGAATAACTCCTCTTCATCTACAGACAGTTCAGTGGAAATCATGGGAAAGTCTGATAAAGAATTTAGAATATTCATAATGGTGAAGCTAACAGAAATGGAAGAGAAGAGAGACCATGAACTACGGAAGAGGCAGTAGGAAAGAGCTGACGAATTCCAGGAGGTGAGGAAATTCTTACAAGATCTAAAAGAGGAATTACACACTTTAAAGATGTTAGAGATGAAGGCTATAATACAGGAAGTCAAAATCTCCCTGGAAAGTATTAAAAGCAGACTAGATCATACAGAAAATCAAATCTCAGACATAGAAGAGAAAATTGCTGGCCTAGAAAAATCCTGAGAAATTGCTCCCCAAAATGAGAATAATATATGAGAAATACTAGATACCATCAGACATCCAGATAATTGGTATCCCAGAGGGCAAAGAGACTCATAAGGACATTGATAAGTCTATTCCATGAAATCCTGCAAGAAAACATTCCAAACCTAGAGAGGCATGCAAAGATCTAGTCCCAAGAAATACAAAGAACCCCAAATAGAATCAACCCAAGAAGATCTCCAAGACACATTAGAGCCAGATTGACCAAAACCACAGACAAAGACAAGACATTAAGATTGGCAAGAGAGAAACTGCAAATTACCTACAAAGGGTATCCCATCAGACTAACAGCAGACCTCTCATTGGAAACAATGCGAGCGAGGAAAGAATAGGAAAATATATTCAAAGTGTTAAGGGAAAAGCAGTTTCAACCAAGAATACTGTACCCAGCTAGATTATCCTTCCTATGGGAAGAAAAGACAAGAACATTCTCAGATAAGAATTTACCAGCACCAGACTAGCTCTCCAAGAAGTTCTCAAGGGAGTGCTATACCAGGAAAATTAAGTATAGACACATAGAAATGAGAGTTCACAAACTAAGAAAATGGCCAATTTAATGGTAGGGACAAGTATGGAGTTGAATATTACATCCCAGAATTTAATTGTGAAGAATGAACCACAACAGAAGATAAAGTACATGAGACTGAACTGCTAAAATAGCATTCTGTGACTTTTGACTAAAATATTGCGGATTTTCTTCTAGGCTTTGTTTTCTAGTTTTAAGAATTTTTGTCCTGTCTTGAACTATCGATAGGTTCATGTACCTACTATTTGAATAGAATCCTAACCTGTTTCTTGGATTTAAGTTTTAAGCAAAGTTCCTTAGCATTTCTTTGATTTATTAAAGTTAAAACTGCTTTTCTTGAAATTAATTACCAGCTGAACTTGCTATTGAAAGTTAGATTATTTAAGAAATTGTGTGATCAGTAAAATGTAGGGGAAAAAGGAATGGTAAGCTTTGTAGACACCAGAGATAGTGTGACAGGAGGGTGGGAAAGGGCAGAGGGTCAGAAATAGGGGTAAAATATTGATGATAACCTGCATGATTAAGCCACTATGCAGTGCATGCTGGATGGGAAATCACATTTTGTATGCAGTGACGATGCCTAGGGAATGAATTTAAATTAATTTTTTAAAAATGTCACAGAAAAAAATTAATTAACTAGTGAATTTAAAAAAATAAAATAAGTTACTAGGCCAACAGGCGGTGCAGAAGTTAAGTTGGCTGGATCTTACATGACCAGCTGTTCTGTTTGATTCCTGAACCCAGCAGCTTCAAAAGCACGCTGGGCACATGTGCATATGTGCCCCAAATCCATGGGTCCAGCAAGTGGTGTGGTGGTTAAGGTTCTGGACTCCCACATTGCTGACCATGGTTCAAATTCCAGACCCAGTGCCTTGAAACTCACCTCATGTCAGGCATGTGTGCATTTGTGCCCAGAATCCTGAAAGGAGAGTGGAAGAGAAAGGTTTGCAGCATGGCCACCCACCCTGAGGGGTGATTTCTCACTTTTTCTCTCTCCATCTTTCTCTGTCTCTGCGAGCACATGTACCTTATAGCAAAAATCTCTCCCCCAGCAAAACAAAACAATACAAAAACAAACAAAAACAAAATTCTGAGAAGGGATTTCAGTGAGGCCGTTCTCCCTGGGGGGATACTTTCTCATGTCTCCTTTCTCTGTCTCTCTCTTTCTCTCCCTCTCCTCACCTAGAGAACATGCCCTATAGTAACACTTAAAAAGGAAAAAAAAGAAATGAAATCCTGTACCCATTAGCAATTACTATGTATTTCCTCCCTCGTTAATTATTTTAAATATTTAATTCATGGCCATGTTCCTATGAAAAGTGTGGGAATTCCCATCGAGGAATAGAGGAGTATCGTAGCCTGAGTTCTCCGTGGTTGTGGAAGGCACACATTTCACTAAGGTAGGAGGGAAGGAAATGAAGGACATGGTAGATTTAAATAGGATATATTTGGGGAGCAGACACTGAAAAGCAAGTGATTAGGGAGTCTGTTGTTACTGTCGTCTGCCTGAGAAATCAAAGTCCGGAGGTGAATTGAAGCCACTGAGGTGTACAAGGAGGAGGACACTCTCCGTGACCTCCCACACAGTTGGGGGTTCGCTCGTGGCTGAGGGTTTCTAGAGCAGAAGGGTATGCAGCAGGATCAGTGAAAGAGAAAGATCGTGAGGTCATCTGGACAAGTGTCAGCACAGACTTCTAGAGCTGTCCCTCCAGAGGTGAGGTTGAGGGACTGCTCCCTCCTACCCGCAGCCGTGGAGTGCAGTCCCATGTGCCCAGGGAAGCTCGCTTAAGTCTAAGAGTCCAAAGTGAGGGTGGACTTGGGGAGCAGTCAGAGAGCCGCTCTGCTGGACATGACTCTCCAGTTACCTGAATTCCAGGCTGCCAGAAAGAAAGCAGGGTGCACCTTAAATCACATTGTTTGCAGAATCAGTTGAGGCTAACTGGTGAAACAGAGTTCAGTGTCCCGTCCCCCCCCCACACACACACATATACACAAACACTTAACCTCATCCATAAGTAGGGCACATCCAACACTAAGTTACCAGAAGCCAGCCCGTCAGGTAGCCCCTT